GTTCTCTACACAAAGGAGATATAAAATACAAAATAGATGAATCTTGCTCTGTTCCCATCCCTGCCAGAAAGTCAGCTGCACGGTTTGTCTCCCTAAACACATGGTAGAATCTTATTTGTGCAAAGTCAGAAGCTAAATCCCAAATCCTCTTGAGTTGGTCTTCGCAGTCCCACGGTGGTTTCTCAAACTTGTTGATGGCTCTAGTGACACTCAAAGAATCAAAAGCAACTTCTAAACTTCTTACGTTCAAGAAAAGAGCAAGCTTAAGGCCTTGGTGAACAACATTAAGTTCCTGATGAAAAACTGAATTACATATATCATTACCAGAGTATGCGCAGAGAACTTCACCTTCCTAGTTTCTCAACAATCCCCCAAAACCATTCCCTGAGTCCCTCACCGCTCCGTCGCTGTTAAGTTTAACTATGCCTTGCATTGGCTTGGACCAAGTGCAAGGGATGTAAGATGCCGCCTTCAGATCACATACGATACCTAATCTTGAAATTAAAGCCTTCAAAGGTGGACTGTCAGGGATATCCTTGATCTGCATCTGTAAGTATCTTCTGATCTCTTTGCACAACCTATGTTTCAAGTTATATGCATTCTGGGACTTATTTTGAAACCTGCGCATATTTCGTTCCACCCAAATATAGTTGACAGTGGCACAAATAACGTACAGTACTGTAAATAGAGGCAGTAACAGATTTTTCTTTACACAGTTTAATGATACTCATCCACAATCTCTTAACGTTTCTGTTGTCCACTCTAATCTCCAATAAGTCTCTAACATGTTCCCAGATTTCCTTACTTGGTCCACTTTGGTCCCTCTCGATCCTAGAATCGAAATCGACCCAATAGTATATAGTCGGTTTGGTTATGGTCCTACTACTATCTTGGACCTACCGAACCGATGCCCACCTATAACTAGAAACTTTGGTGTGCGAAAAAAATAAATTACGGTTTCTTGTGTATGTTTCATTCATCGTTTTTCTCTAATAGTAAAGTTGATTTTCTTTGTGCTCTGGATGTAAACAATTGCTAAACCACATCAACAATGTTTATCATTACATTTCTGCGATGGTGCAACACTATAAACCTAAATTGCTTTGCTAATATTGAACCTAATCACTTTTGGATTTGGGTTTAGTGAGTACTAATTAACAAAAAATGTGACAAAAACAAAACAAAATCATTTTGTTCAATAATAAAATACACGTGTCAAAAAATTGTAAGAAGTTGATGAAATGATGAAACAAAGGAGGTGAGGTAATAACTTGTTGTGCTGGCAACATCACAACTTAGAAATACTCACATTTTATAACTTGTGGTGCGTAATGCGCACTCTTTATAACAGATAAAGCCATGGTACTCTAACTTGCGCCGACAAGTTCTACTTAGCTTTTGTATCACTAATGGAACCCTTTTGGAGAGATAAAGTAGTTTATCCCCTTTTAAGTTTAATCTCTATAGCTATAATTCTATATATAAATTTGGGTGATAAGTTTAAATTTCCAGTTTTATGGCAACCAAAGATGGATTTTATAAGTACAAATTCAACTCATTTTGTGATTAAAGATGATGGAGGTAAAGAATCAATAGTTTATGTTAATGGGTGGAATTCATATTGGTTAATGGAAGAAAGTGTTTGGGAAAAAGATAGAAAAAGGGTATCTGAAATGTTGAAGAGAGGTTCTGAAATGGGTATGACTGTTTGTAGAACTTGGGCTTTTAATGATGGAAATAGTCCTAATTCTCTTCAGATCTCCCCTGGAGTTTTTGATAAAAGGGTTTTTCAGGTTTGTTTTCTTTACTTTGCTATTTTTGTTTTGTGTCTCTTACATGTATGTTATTGTATTGTATTGAATCTTTTCAACTTATGTTAATTTGCAAATATACATGAATTAGCTTTGATTAGTTATGCTGGCTCATTAACATTGCCAAAGCTTTGCTAATTTGTTGATATTTTATACTGATTATACAAAATTATCACTGCACTTAGAAACGAATGGCAAGATGAAAAGAAACTATAGCAAATTATATTTTGAATGTATATTGCAGCTAATCACTTTAGTTGGTACAGGTTGATACAAATTTTTTCTTGCCATTAGATGTACGATCGATAATGCAGCTTGTGTTAAATAACAGATTTCAAGACATTTTTTATTAGAGATATTATAGGTTGTCTTTCCCGAAAGAAGAAAAAACATAGATTTACTTATAATACAACCTTACTTGAACAGGATCTGTTCTATAGGGAAATACCTCTGTATCCTACAGTATAAAAAAGGTGATAACCAAAGCCAGGATGATGAATCAGGACCGTGGATTAGAGCGTAATTAATGGCCGAGATTCAAGCTGTGAATATCCTGGCTATAGAGGATCGTACTCAGCTGCCTTGGTGGCTGAGATGGTCGTGCGGTTGTCTGACAGGCCTCCAAACTTTTTTTATTTTATTTTTTTAAGAGATATTTTTTATAATCAAAATATTTTATGGAAAAGGTGGGCGATTTTGACACTTCTTTCCTGTGTTGGACTCAGACGCACATTCCTGTGTCAAGTTTACTTAGGCTTCCATTGATTTAGTGTACTAAGGTACTTAGTTTAAATGTGTGCTTCCCAAATTTGAATTATTTTGCTTTATCTTGCACTGTCGTTGTTGATTATAGAGTTGAGTTCTTGAAAATGGTATGAAAGCACCTTTGCACTTTTCACTTTCTGATTCACTCTTTGATTATCTATTTATTGAAACAATGTCACCACGTCTTTTCAGGGTTTGGATTATGTGATAGTTGAAGCAAGGAGGCGACGTATAAGATTGATTTTCAGTCTAGTAAATAATCTTGATGCTTTTGGTGGAAAGGCTCAGTATGTACGATGGGCACAAGAAGCAGGATTTAATGTGACATCATCAAATGATTCATTTTTCTCACATCCAACAATAAAAGAGTATTATAAGAATTACATAAAGGTACGTCGGCAAACTGGGAATGTGTTTTATTGATTCCTGTATCGCCAAAACTTACAACCATTTTATGATGTTCTTTTGCAATAATCCGTTGGATAATCTCTATGCAAATCACGAGCCAAAAACACATCAAGCAAAATAAAACTCCATACCCCTGACTATAGAATTAGGACTGTTTTATTTTTTGGTAGAATGCTCTTATTTTAATCATATTTATGTTCGTTTGATGTACCTAAAACCATTACATGAGACAAATAGCCGAATAGGTATACTGTTTTGGCGTAGCTAGGTGTGGCTATCTAAATCTATAACCTCTGTCCTACCTCATTTTATCCTGCAAGCTGTGTAGATGCCAATGTATTGGATCATTATATGTTACCATTTTATGAGTCACATATATGAACTTTTTTACACTTCGAATTGCAAATCTAGTTGACCCTTGCCGTTCTTTGGGGCCTTTAGTCTTTTCGGCCATCCCTAAATGATGTCGTTCTTTGGACTTCCACGTAGTGAAAAACTCAAAGGATGATTCCAACCTGCTATGGTCAGAATGAAAAACAAATGTGCCGCTCTCCTTATCGTGTTCCTCCTTGAAAAGAGAAATAAATAATTAAATACTGATGTGAAACCGGTGTAACATAATCCAAATAATTAAGATACTCCATGTTTCTACTCAGTCTGATTATATACACTTCGTATTGTATTATTTCACTCTGAACTTGGATTGAGCCTTTCATGAGACTGTACCATTACAAGGAAGTATATAAATGCTATTTCTTTCTAATTTCCCTTAGGTGTTTCTTTATTTACTTAATTAGGTACATATTTTGGATCACTACAATCATGGTGTTATTAGTGCCTTGCACTGATGCTTGTTTTCCCTTACATTTTCAAGGCTATTGTGACCAGAACAAATTCTATAAGTGGAGTCAAATACTCTGAGGAGCCAGCCATTTTTGCTTGGGAACTCATGAACGAACCGCGCTGCATATCCAGCTCATCTGCCCCTTTTCTCCAGGTTAATCTACATTGAGTAGCACCATGTTTTTATTCAACACATTTTCAGGTTCTTTTATGTATCTCTTATGAACTGTAGCAACATCATATCTCTAACAACTCCCAAGATTGTTAACATATAACTTCAGGCCTCAGAGGTTTTATAAAAAATAAAAATAATCAGAATAATTTAAATGATTGTCGAAAGTATGAGGGGGTTAGGGTTACGTAGTCGGGATGTCTTAGTATCTTTGTGGATTCCTGTGTGTGTCCGTGCGCACTTTATTCTTAAAAAAAAAAAACTACTTCCTACAGCACTCATCAGACTTGAACCTGACTTTAATTCATGATTTTATCTCAACAAGAAACTCCTCTAGCTGGGAAAATCTTGAATCTTGGTGAAATTACCCATTCAGACAGAATGTGGATTTGGATACAAAACTCGCATCACGAAAATGACATTTTAGTCCTGTTATGTCTTGATCATGTATTTTACATGCCCGCCAATGGAATTTGTTGAAATTGATTGAGAGAATACATCTGACTACCCTCTTAGTCTTGCTATGTCTTGATCACAAATTACAGATGGGCATCATGAATTTGACCTCTTTCCTGGTAGCTGCAGGGAAAGCACAGAACCAAAGGTTTGATACCTGCTGTTGAGTAGCAGATAACTAGCATGTGACATCTAGGGTCGCCTGACGCCTCCCAACCAAACTGATCCCTTCAATGATAAAACTTTAACTTGGAGTGGTCTAACAAAATTTAATTTGTCGAAAATCCCTAAATTCTCTCTAACAATATATTCAAAACAGATACATATTTTTGGATTCGTTTTGTACTTGAATTCAATTTAAATAATATGTCCTTAATGCTTTTATTTTGGCCAACAGACATGGATTATAGAGATGGCTGCATTTCTCAAGGGCTTGGATCAGAAGCACCTTGTGACTGTTGGGCTTGAAGGGTTCTATGGGTTGGACTCGGCTAGCAAATTGTCAGTGAATCCTGGGGAGTGGGCTGCTTTGCTTGGATCAGACTTTATACAAAATTCAGCAGTTGAAAACATTGATTTTGCTTCAGTTCATGCATATCCAGATAGCTGGTTAGTGAACTCATTTTTTGCTTGAGTAACATTTGACTGTTAGATCCATAGTCTGCAATCTAACCACAAATTTGATCCACATCTTCCAATTATGTCGATCAGCCTTTAGATGAATCTATGTATGGGAGTGTTTCTCTTCTAATGTATACAGTCCTGATTTGGTAAAAAGTATGACATAGAGGCAATGGAGGTTGAACAAGACTTTACCATTTCCTCTTGTCTGAATTCTGTCTTGCATTGATTGTAGGATACCAGATGCAGATTTGGACGAGAAAGAAATATATCTTTCACAATGGGTGGAATCTCATGTGATGGATGCTGAGCATGTTCTGAAAAAACCAGTTCTATTTACAGAGGTTGGATCTTTAGTGCATACGAAGAAAGAAGGGGTATATAACCGAGATCTCTTGTTAAAGACGGTATATGATAGATTATATGAGTCAGCAAGGAAGGGACAAGCTGGAGCAGGGACCTTAATATGGCAGTTACTTGTTGAAGGAATGAAAGGCTATGGTGATCAATATTCCCTTGTAGCATGGGATCAGCCATCTACTTACAAGCTGATAATGGATCAATCATGCAGACTACAAAATATGTTTCGAACAGACAATACAAACAGGAAAATTCGTCCTGGAGATCCATGTTTTGGCTGAAATACTTGACAAAAATATGGCGTAGCAAGTAGCGTTTCCAGTTCATTTGGAACCACTTGAAGGTCCTCAAGTAGTCAGGAGCCTACACATAATGAGGAGGTGTTTAGTTACCAGTCTTAGCAGTTCAAGGCATCGAGTCAGGAAGAGCTCAAGCCATCAAGTCATTCATGCGTACCAATACAATTATGTAAGTTTGGGGGAACACTTCCAATGTTATGCGACGATTCAATGGTTGTTGATTGGAGGTTTGTTATATATGTAGAAAATATTAGAGTTTGTGGATTCGTTTTGGATAATCTACTGAGAGGTGAAAAATATATATGTTTTGTCAATATAAAGGTGTAATCTGTGCAAGTCTGTAAAGGTATATGAACATTATATACAACTTGTTTTGAGGATGTCAAACAAGTTCATGTTTGTAAATGTAGAATGTGGGTGAGTCAGAGAATCGAACTGCTTGCAATTGCGAGCAATATGTTTGTAATTCATTATAAGTTAATTAATGTCTCTGCATTTGTCAATACAAGTGTTTTCATGTTTTGAGACTTCTTCATAAGATACTTGATTGCCTTCAGGTGACCTTTTATTGATGGAATTATGGAAATGCTTGCTTCATAGTACATTAATTAGTTTCAAATTTACAACAAGATTACTACGACATATTTCTGAAGCCACTGCGTTTTAGAAAAGATTATTTCGAACTAGATCACATATTCTTTCGAAAACAAAGTCCTGATCATCTAGAGCTATTGTTGGTTACTACTAGCTAGAACAGACGAGTCAGGTGATGCAACTGTTTGTTTCAGTTCACCAGTGCTCCATGACTGCTTCGCTTGCTTGTATTTTCTATCCTTTTCAGCGTCCTTTGAACAATCGATCTTTGTCTCCTATCAAAAAGAAGACAAAATGAATACATCAGTCCAGAGTTAATATAGGTAAACATGGGAAATATTGTAATTGAATATGTTAAACCTTCATCCATTGTGATGCAATTTGATAGCTGGGCACAGTTTTTCGCCGTGACACAGTTCTGGCAGCTTTGAACCTGTTCTTGGCAGGTTTATGTTTATGTTTAACATCTGGTGCAGTAATGGTTAGACGATTGAAGGCAATAGATACCTCGTTAGATCCACAACTCTCTTCTTCTGCAGCTGTATCAACATTTTTCTTACCAAATACAAATTTTGTCTCTCTACAAATAGGCTCATTTTGTTTGCTCATTCTGTCTTCATGAACTGAACATGTTTCAAGCGGGCGAGCTGCCATCCATCTTTCTAGCCAATTCCAGCCCATGTTAGCTTCCGGTGTATCAGATTGTGTCAGTTTCTTCTTTGAACAAACTCGCAGCTATTTCAAAAGATCATACGACCAGAGTTATTCCTGGTAAAATAACTGATGATCTGTGCTCATTTTGTGCGTAATCCATATATACCTGTTGTGAGAATGCATAAGCTAGAGCTCTCTCACGCCTAGTTGTTGCTTCCAGTCTGCTCTGAATCCTTGATTTAGCTATGTTACTGCTCACTGTGCTATCATCCCAATCTTCCTGTAGAGGCAAACCGTACATGAGAGGAGGCCTGAAGGTATCTGAATGTTAAGGACATGTTATAATACCTTCAACTTGGCAGCATGAGATCGTGCTTTTTGCTGGGCTCGGTGCTGCGCAGCAATCCTTTCCTCTTGAAGTGACAGAACTTCAAATGAACCTCCTGTT